TTATTTCTTGCACTCTATAGTTAAATATCAATCTTTGGTCATTTTGCAATGTTTTTTTCTATTTATGTTTTAAGGAACACAATTTTAGAGGTTGTTTGTCAAGTTTGATACTATTTCTTAAGATCAGAGAAATGTCAGCAGTGATGTATTTTCCTTTTATAACCAGGTGATAAACCTGATGTGTTAGATTTTAATGTTACCAAAACTCTTCAGAGGTCAGACTATTTATTTTGTTTCCTGAGGATTTGCCAATAGGACAGATACTAGTATTACTTTTTTTTTTGCAAGTTCTTGTTCATAACATAATCTCAGTTATGCAGAAGTTTTTAATTTATTGTGATAAATATTTATATTCAAATTATGATTATGTTTATCTAGGCTGTTGACAATAACAGTCCTGCATTTGAGGCGGGACTTCGACCTGGAGACCTGATAACCCACCTTAATGGAGAAGCTGTTCAAGGACTACTTCATCATCAGGTTCTTCATCTTATTTTGTCTGGTGGTGATAGTCTTCATGTTCGAACTACCCCTTTAGAAAACACCACCATTAAAAGTGGAGGCAGGAAACGACATCCATCTTCTATCAAAATGATAACGAGACCAACGACTCGAAGACGTACAGGCCAAGTAAAGAAGGAAAACCAGTCTGAAAAGAAAAGAAGAACCTCACTTCTTCGTCGTCTAAGCAGTAAAAAAGCAAGTGCTGATTTCCATCAAATAACAACTGTTTCTCCTACAATGGCTGCTCAGAACTGGAGTGTTCAATCTGTCCATCAAGGTTCTGTAATAGTGGCTGAAAATCCACCAGCATCTTCAACTTGTAAAGTAAATCGATCGTCGACAACTAATCGTCTCTCTTCGGGTTTTGACATCTTTCGGTCGGTTGCTATTAATTCTTCAGAAAGTACTTCTCCAAGCTCAAGTGTTCCAAATTCTCCAGCAAGTTCTGCTCATTTTCCCCGTCCTAGTTCTCTACATGGCCTGAAGCACAAGTTGGCTCAGACTTGTCGTTCACCTCGGCGAAAATCTGTGGGTCATATTCCTTTATCTCCTCTTGCTCGAACCCCTTCACCATCTCCTCTTCCTTCTACTTCACCTACTCGTTCACCTTCTCCACTAGCTTTTCCTCTGGCTCATCAGGCTGGAAGCTCACAGACCACTCAGAGTTTTGTAGTACAAAAAGGACCCTCGATGATTACTCTTACACCCTCCATTTCTAGCAGGAAACCAGTGATAAGACCTAAAAGTGCAGAACCTGGATCTCCCTTACTGAGACGAGCCCTTTCACCAGATCGCTTGCATCCAAAATCTGCAGAAGGAAAGATAAGGCAGGAGTCAGTTTCTGGACAGACTTCTCCATTAGCTCTTTCATTTTCTCATCACAATAAGTCTCAGTATTTTTCATCTTCTCCTCCTGTTACATCTCAGATACGTAAACTTGCACTAACAAATTCCACACCAAAGAGTGATCTGCCAAAAATTGTAAGACCTCAGCCTTTTTTGCCTAATATTGAAGACTTTTGTAGATCCCATGGTTCAATCCTAGATAAAGTAAGAAAACCTTTCAATTCAGATAGCTTCTTCCAGTATGCTCTAGCTCTAAAAGCTGAAACTGGTGCTATGTTTGATTCGGAAGCAAAGGAAAAAGATAAAGCCAACAATTCAGAAGTATGCCATACATGTGCAACAGTCATGAAAGAAGTACATAAAATTGAAACATCACAGGATGAATCTCACTTGAAAGATAAACAAAATACTCATGACCAAACTGACGAGGAACATTCCAGTTTGCAGAAAATTACTACAAGTGAGAAAACAGCTGAAACAAGTCAGCCCCACAATCCTGAAGGATATGACCACCATGCCCCACAATCCTTTCTGGAGTCTGAAGTCAACACTTTGAAGGTAATTGATGAAAATCTTGTTTCAGAACAACTGTCTTTTCACCCTGACTCTCTTTCCTCAATGAACACTTTGTCTTCCGACGATAAGGAGTTTCATGAATAGATGATGCTTTACTTCAGCACTTATTAAATAAAGCAAGCTTAAGATATTCACTGATTTGTAGTAATATTATATATGTCTGAGTGGTTGTGCCACCTGTCTAGAAAAGTTTAGAAATGTACTTTGTGTAAGTGTTAATGATGGCTCTAAAAGTCCGGTTTGTGATAAGTACTCTTATCAAAGTTGTATCTAACCTTCAAGTCAATGTTAATGTACAGTTAAGGCTGAAGCTTTATAGTTTTTTATGGTGCAAAGATGTTAATCACCTTGTACACCTTTCTGAGATTTATAAAAAGTTGTATTTATGAGATTTATTATATTATTTTCATAGACATATGTACAGGTAGTGAGTATATAATCTCAGTAAATTTCAACTTTTTTATATCCAAAATATTTAAAAGTTCTGTTTGTATTTCTTTGTTTTGGGGATTTTCGTAATATAGGTTGTGACTTTTTTGTCTTAAAATTAGTCATAGAATGTGCTCTTTTTTTTATGTTCTGAAATATTCAAAGTGTTCAGTTTCAGGTACTCTCATGATTATTATTTTTTAATAGAAAATATTATCCCAGCTGTCTGTTTATTAATATTATTGGCACTGTCATTGTGTTGTGGTGGTGTGTGTTATTCTAATACCAGTTGAATGTTTTAATTATAACAGCTGATATGTTAACACCTTTCAAGTCTGAAATCCAGTTTATTCTACAAGATAAGTCATTAGAGATTGTAGTAACTGTCATTTAGGTAATATAAACCACTTGTTTAAAGTTTCAAGATAATGTGTAGCCTGGTTGTAGATACTCTTGTATGCATTTGTTACATATAGATTAAAAAAAAAGACCAGGTTGATCTAGTATGACCAATCTATCTTATGAATACATGTGCTCAAAATCTTAAAACTTTTGTGATTTAAACCAAAAGGGAAATACATTCTGTCCAAATGTTGTGTTGAATTATTACTTACTCCATATCTGTTTTTGGAAATTTGTTTGTATAGTGAATATTAGTACATTAGAGAATAGAACAAAGTGCTTAAAGTATATACAGTGTACCCAGCATTTTAATTAACTGTTATTAGTGAACTGAAGTGTTTCTCAAGGAAGAATTAAAGGTGAAGTTTAACCAGATTAGATACATTTTTATGGGTATTTTATTAGAAGATCTCACTTGTTAAGTTCTTTCAATAGAAAGAAAATGGATTATGAATGTATATTTATTAAGATTTGTCATATTATATTTGCTAATCTATTTTATAAAGTGTTCATGTTAATTACATAGGTGTAAGTAAGAAATCTTTCGCAAACAAGACAATAACAGACACACAGACAACTGTAAGAATAATTAGACTTGATTTATTACAGACAAAATATTAGTGTAAACTAGACTGGTACGTGTGTGTTGGATGTAAGAATAATTAAATTAAACTGTATAAAAATATCACTAACTGGTTGTGTGTCATAAAACTAATTACATTCAATGTACATACAGAAGCATATGAGTAAAGAAAAGTTAAAAATATACTGTTAGTAGTTTGTAGAAAGATTTGGGACTTGATTATATGCACCTCCTATAAAATTTAATTAGCTGCTTTGAAACTGGTTACATCAACCGGCGGTTCTTATGGTCTTTATATCTACCTAGTTATATATAGTACATTTTGTGTAAAAATACTTGCATATAAAAGATTTTTGGCCATTTTATTATGATTCTACAAAATTTAACAAGGTTATCTTTTGCAGTTGAAGAGATTGGAAAAAGAAACTGAAATGTTTTTTTTTTTTTTGTTTAAAATACAAATAATTATCTTAGCTTTACTGTATATATATATATATTGTCAATGTAACAGAAGTAATAAAATTACTTAATACGTAATTTTACATTATATAACAGTGAACAGTATGTTAAGGCACTCTGATTTTATACTGAATGCATAAAAATAAGGAACAAGTATTATTAATAATAGATGTATGCGATGTTTTTGTGGTACAGTTTCATTATAGACCTGCTACTGGAAATACAAGAAATTGTTTTTCTCTGTCTTCTGTCATTTATTTAAGTTCACAAGAAACACTTTGACAAGCCAAGCATTTAAATTTTTTTTTATCCTTGCAATTCAAGACTCCTGAAAATCTTTCTTACCCCTAAAAATGGACCCCTTGTATTGGCATGGAATTGTTCTTAAGAACATGAAATAAAGATCTGAATAGTCAATTCGGTAAAAGGAACCAGAATCGTTTTCAGTATACTTTCAAAGTTTTTCTAGTGTGATCATAATTTGAGTCTATTATGCTCTCTGTATTACAATTGTGCTACAAAAGGAAAAATTACAATGTAGAGCACCACTTATTTAGCTTATGCTAACATCTGATAAATTATAACGTTCTGAAGTACACACTTAGTACTCTCTAGCTAGCGTAACCAAGACGTTCAAAGTTGAGTCTTTCTATTTTCTATAAGTCAATCTTTTTCAGTTGTACCGAGATACGCTAATCTAGAAAAAAGGCTAAGTTTTATTTCCGTATTTGTATTTACTTCATTCAAAGTAGGAAGGTCAGCAATCTCAAGATGTTTGTATTTATTTCCGATACACACACTAAACAAGTGATGAACCAAGGAACTAATGCTTCATATTCTGTCGTGTAATATACTACCTAATTAGGCCTAACTGGTACTTCATAGTACTTATCGGAATAAGTGTTTTGAGTACATAGTTTGAAATAGAACAACTGTGAAAATGTTCATAGTGTGATGACATGCTTAAACTTGTTGATGTGTCTTTTTTTCGCACGTTGAAAGGAAAGCTTTATTTCATTTAAATAAAACAAAACCTTTCACACTTGGCCAGGAAAAACGACCATTAAGAAAAAAGTTTTAATGCAAAGTATTTCTAAGTTGTTGCAAGTAATATGCGATTAATTTACAAAGTTTTTTTTAAGAGTATTGTGTCTTCAAGACCTAAAAGCTAAAAGCCATCCTGTTTACTGGCGTTTTCTTTTACAAAGTACATTATCTATTTACGGACGAGTTGTTGTAACTTGAAATCTAAACTCCTAAACCTAAATTGGTAAATGTTGTGTGCAGAAACTTTCAACCACAGGGAAAAAAGCTTGACCAAATAATACTCGGAAAAACACCGATTACTTAATTAGAAAAACGAGATTAGAGATAACAGTAGAAATTTTTGTTTCATTATATCAAACGTCAAGAGTTTATGTTGCTGGCACAAAGTATTGACAATACTAGGTGATTTATTTCTTTAGATTTTGAAATGTAAAACAGTTCGTGCGTGATACAAAATTTGTGTAGTATGTTCATACTGAGTACTGTTTTAAAGTTTCATGCTGCTAATAACGTTTTAATTTAATATGAACTTAAATTTGTTGCCTAACTGAAATAAATTCTATAGGTTTCTCTACAAAAATATTAAGTTTTTGTTTTTTTATTATCCATATTTCTTTAAATGACGTATACATACGCAATTAAGTGGGACGACTTTAAACGAACTAATCTTGAAGGACGAAATGCATGCAGTTTAGGCTGTTGTGACGTACCGTAAAACCCTTCTTTAAGCTATATAAACTTGGTGAAATGTATATTGGCAAATTTTGTGTTGTCGATATTTTAATTTTGAATGTTAAAATGTATAAAATATAATATTCGATTGTTGGACATAACTTTTATTATAGGAATGTATTGAACGAATCTACCATGCGGAATTGTAAGTCTGTACAGTAAATACTTATACATGTATAATGTGATAATTCGTAACCTACGTTGATGTTATGAATAAATGGTTTTTTTTTGTGTGTTTAACGATGTTTTGTCTTGTTTTTTGTTATGAGCAGATTGTTAGTAAATGTTGAAGGAACAAGTACCGCAAGAAGGGTGATTAAGAAAAACTGGAACATAGATCTGTAGTTCTGTGCAGTCTCTTCCCCCGTACACACGAGAGTTTAGTCGTGTCGCTTCCTTCCTTCCTGAAACTGTACACACAGGAGTTTAGTCGTGTCGCTTCCTTCCTTCCTGAAACTGTACACACAGGAGTTTAG